ATTCCTATTACTTTGCATCCAACCACTAGAGAAAGATTTGGGTTTGTGAAATAACTTTCAGGACTAGGACGGGTTGTCTCTCAGACGTGGCTGTAGTGGCAGAAGCTGGTCTTTTTTTCCCTCCCTCCCTCTCGACTTTTTTCTTCTTAATGTTAATGAAGTACCATTGTTTGACATCTTTGTTAACACTGTGAGTATACAGGACTTCTCCCTTCAGATGTGGGCACTGTGGCTCTCCCACTAGCAAAGCACCAGGTCACTCTATTGTGCTCTCTCCCCTCCCCCCTGCATGGCCCTCCCCTCTCCTCCCCTCCTGACTTCCTTCCTCTTCCTCTCCTCTCCCCTCCCCCCATGCCTCAGATCTATGGTCACCTTTCAAGGGATGGTTTTATTTCTTTTTTAAAACTTTTTAAATCTTTAAAATTATTTATTTATATATTTTTTATATCATTGTTCACTTTTATACAATGTTTGCTTTCTCCTCTCAGGTGTAGCCCCCATAGAATTCCCACCACCAATTCACCCGTGCACCATCACCATAGTCCCTTGTTTTTTTTGTTTTGTTTTGTTTTATTTAAATTTATTTATTTATACAAGCACTGGGTATAGTCAGAAGTGCGGGAGGGTGAGAGAATTCACCAGAGCTAGAGCGGGGAACAGAACAGGCAGACTAATGAAATACACTGCTGAGGGGAGCAGCAGGCACGGCAGGAGAGGTCTGTGCACCATGTGGGACCCTCCCAGGTGGCCAGGGATCCGGGGATCGAACCGGCACTGCAGAGGCTGAGGGCAGATTTGCAGCCCTGTGCTCAACCGCTGCGCCACCAGGGGAGGCCCACCTTAGTCCCTTGTTTTGATCCCTCTCCCTCGTCCTCCCTTGCAGAATGTCTCTGATTTATAGTTGCCTGTTAATTTTGTTGTTTTTTTTTTAATTTATAGTTATTCCCCACCCCCCCACCGAATCTCAAGGGTTGGTTTTAAAGTTTGCCTTTGTCTGACCATTTGTTTGATTTCTTTATATTCCACATATAAGTGAGCTCAGCCAGTATTTATCTTTCTTCCTTTGGCTCACTTCACTTAGTGCAAGCCCTTCCCTGCTGGTCTTTTATGTGCCAGGACAAGGGGGGCAGATGACCTTCATCGTCCTAGACCCATGGAAAGAAAGAGAGGCTGGCACCCCTGTGTCCTGTGGCCTCAGCGATGTGTTCCTGTCGTTGTTAGTTTGTGTGAGCAGCGGGCAGCAGGGCTGGGCTCCCCAGGCCCTGGGGACAGTTGAAAGTTTCCCAGGGCTTGGAGGGTGGTGGAGTCACCTGCCATTTTCTGGCTCTAGAGGCACCACCTTGTATGTAGGTTTTATTTTATTTTTATCTTAAATGAAATTTGAGAAAAACATCAGTTTTTAAAATGATTTAAAAGAGTGTTTGCTTTTAAATTAACTTGTTTTAGAAGTTCTCAAAATATATGAGGGAAGAAGAAAGAGGAAATAGTCTAAAAAGAGGAATAAATACTGTAGCAATTTGTTGGGTTAGTTCCATGGGCTGATGAAATATTGATTGTAAGCTGCTGTCTACACACCTCATTTCAGGGTTCTGGGGTTTGTCCAGGGGCCCCAGTGTTGTGACATAAATTTTGTGTAATCAATCAATTTATTATTCAGTCCCTATCTCACGCACACATTCATAGTCTCTCTCTCTCTCTCTCTCTCTCTCTCTCTCTCTCTCTCTCTCTCTCTCCCCCCCACACACACACACACAGAGGGCTCTCAGTGGTCATCAGTTTGTACTGCGGCCATTCAGAGTAGACTGGCTCCCAGGCAGCCCCAGCCTCCTCAGGGGTTTCATGCTCTCTGCTTGCCACTGGCTTTTGATCAGGTCATAGGACACTGATGATGCTGGTAACAGACAGGAATATAACATGTTTAATTTGGGAAGAGAATCTATATAAATCAAGATGTTCACAAAGCCAATCTAGTGAGAGACCTTGAGACAACATGATGTGTTAAAAGCCTAGGAAGAAAAGAATCTTTTCAAAACCAGGAGGCAACTTTTGTTCGGCTGTCAGCTGGAGGTCCACTTGGATTTTGGTGGGATGCCTTTAATCAATTCACTGAGACTTCAGTCTGTGGCTTTGGTCAACTCTGTAAACTTCTACATTGTGTCTCCAATACTCTGGTATTTTGTAACCATCTCTTCCTTCCCTTCAACAAATCCATCACAGATTCAACAAAATGCAGGTTTCTCCCACAACCATCTTTACAGTGACCCTTACACATTAATATGAACATCTGTAACATACTATGTAGGACAATACTGCTATTAATTTACTTGGAAGCTTACTGTATCAGACTTGTGCCCAAGTCCAAAAGTCTCTCCAACTGTCCAAGAATTCTGTCTTCACATAAGACTGGAAATCATGAAATATAGAAAGAAATACAGGCAAAACGCTGCATGGCATACACCTCAGTAGCATCTTTAAAGACACATCAACCAAAGCAATGATAGTGAAGGCAAAGATAAACAGCTGGGACTACATCAAATTAAAGAGCTTCTGTACAGCAAAATAGACAGTAACCAAAACAAAGAGAAACCCCACCGATTGGGAGAAAATTTTCACACACAACAGTAATGATAAAGGACTGATCACAAAAATCTACCAAGAACTGATGAGACTCAACAAAAACAAAGTAAATAATCCAGTCAAAAATGGGCAGAAGAGCTAAAAAGAAACTTCTCCAAAGATGACATGCAAATGGCCAACAGGCATATGAAAAAATGTTCAACATCACTTGTAATCAGGGAAATGCAAATCAAAACTACAATGAGATGCCATCTTACACCAGTGAGAATGGCACATATTAAAAAAACTAGCTACAACAAATGTTGGCGAGGATGTAGAGAAAAAGGAACTCTCGGGCCTCCCGGGTGGCGCAGCGGTTGAGCGCTGGGTTACGAAGCTGCCCCCAGCCTCTGCAGCTCCATTTGGATCCCCGGCTGCTCCCCCATCACCGGAGGAGGGTCCCACATGGCGCGCAGACCTCTCCTGCCTCCCGCTGCTCCCCTCAGCAGTGTGCTTCAGTCCTTCTGCCTGCTCTGCTCCTCGCTCTGGCTCTGGTGAATTCTCTCACCCTCCTGCGCTTCTGACTGTACCCAGTGCTTGTATAAATAAATAAAAAAAAAATAAATCTAAAAAATGCTGTCTAAAAAAAAAACCCAAAAACCAAAAAAAGAGCATAAAGGAACTCTCCTGCACTGCTGGTGGGAGTGCAAACTGGTCCAACCACTATGGAGAGCTGTGTGGAGAGTCCTCAACCTAAAGCTAAAGATGGAGCTTCCATATGATTCAGCAATTCCACTCGTAGGTATTTACCCAAAGGACACAGAAACATTAATTCAAAAGGGCACCAGCACCCCTATGTTTATAGCAGCACTATTTTAATAGCTAAGCTATGGAAACAACCCAAATGCCCAAAAATAGATGACTGGATCAAGAAGTGGTATATATACACCATGGAATATTACTCAGCAATCAAAAAAGATAAACTCATGCCATTTGCAGCAACATGGGTGGAGCTGGAAGGGATCATGCTCAGCGAAATAAGCCAGAAAGAAAAAGAAAAATACCGGATGGTCTCACTCATAGCAGGAATCTAGAAAACCTAAATAAGGGACCAGGAAAAAGACCAATTATAATAAAGTAAAAATCAAAATCAACAAGCAACTATAAACCAGAGACACACTGGAGGGGGGAGAGGAGGGAGTAGGATCAAAACAAGGGAGGTGGTAATTGTATGGAGACTATAATCAAGATGAAAATGCATACATTGTGCAAAAATGAAAAATTATGTGAAAAAATGTATAAAATTAAATAATAAAAAATAAAATAAAATAAAAAGAATACAAATCATTAAAAAAAGAATTCTGTCTTCAAACCCAGCCACATTTCTATTCCTAGAAGAAGCTCTGGTTCTTGGGGAGCTCAATGCCTGCTTCCTTAGCCATAAGCTAGGAATAATGAGAGTACCAACCCCATTGGATTGTTGTGAGGATAAAATATGATAGCATATATGATGCACTTTGGAAAAAAACGCTGGCCCGTTGTAAATGCTTAGCAGTTACTGAGCATCCTAGCTTATGGCTAAGGAAGCAGGCATTGAGCTCCCCAAGAACCAGAGCTTCTTCTAGGAGTAGAAATGTGGCTGAGTTTGAAGACAGAATTCTTGGAGAGCTGGAGAGACTTTTGGACTTGGGGACAAGCCTGATACACTAAGTTTGCTATTATCTTATTGAGCTAGATGTCTTGCTTACTGGAACAATAGATCTCATTCACTGTTTTCCAATTGCTGCTCCTGATTTCGAAGGATTTGGTAGTGGATAAAAGAAAGAAAGCAGTAAAAATTGGCTCTCCGATGTTGAGTCTGGGTGAGTGGTTCTCCAGGGCTAATACAAATGTGGGATTTATGATTGAGAAGAAAAGCCACGTGTTTTTCTTTCAGTTCAGGACCAGTGGGTTCAGTACAGTTATTTGTAAGGAAGGATGCTAATAGCATGATTGTGTTTATTGTTTTTAAAAAAAAAATAGTAGCTCTTTCATCCTCCAAGTGTCTCATGAGACTGTGTGGGAGTTTGGGGACAATATGTGATGCCATCATGTTCTTTGTACCAAAATGGACATAGGACACATCTGAGATTTAGAAACAGAGAATCTGAGTAGAGAGCCTCACTCAGGGGAGAGAGATAAGTCTAATTTTAGACATATGGTAGTTGAGGCGAGAATTAAGTATTTGAGTAGAAAAATCATTACAGAAATTAGGAATATGATAAGGAAGTCTAGTGAGAGAAATTAGGAGAAGAAAATAGCCCTCTTCAGTGACCTAAAGCTCATCTCTAAAGCCATCAGAAGGAATGTCTCCCTTGAGAGAGAAGGTAGCGAGAGATGGGAGGCTCTGTTTCCCCTTTTATGTAAGATGTTTTTAAATCAAATACCTTTTGATTTTTTTTCAGTAACACTGGATTGGGGACTGTATGCTGGGCTGGTCTCAGTGGGCATCTTAAGTGTTGTCATGATTCTCCCAGCAAAAATACTACTGTTGAGAAGAAGAGGTAAGTGTCTGACAATAAAGAGATTCTTATCAGGCTCTGTGGTAAGCGGGGGACCTCTTTCCACAAGCACAGACTTGCTCTCACCATTTGGGTTTTATGCATGAAGCCCTTTGTGAAAACACTAAATAAATATATCTTAGGACCTCACAGAATGGTCCAGTTGAACATCTTGGCTAGTAGGTTATGGGGATAGAAAGTGCTGAATCTGCCAAGGAGACATTATGCAGCTCATTTCAATCCAATGTGACTAGCCTGTGTAGAGGTAATACAGGCTGCCTATGGGGCCAGGCAAGAGGTATAACAGTACTCACAGAAATAGTACTCTTGTATCTCATCCAAGAAAAGTTCTAATTACTGACAAATAAAAAGACACTCTAAGATGCTTTCATCCAAGGGTTGATACCTTTCAACAATTTCTTCTTAAACTTTCAATGCTCTCTGGAAGAAGTAGGGCAGTTGCTTCTGTGTGGCTTAGCAGTGGAGTAACAGAGCTGCAGACAGCCTAAGAGATTCATATAAGGTTAACTGGTTGATAAAGAAACCAGAACCTTAACCACATCTCCCCTCTAGCACGGTAGGTTCCAGTGGGAAGACCAATAGATTGTCAGAGAAGAGCAGAAAGAACTCTCTTTACTAAGATTTTAACACGTTTCTACTCAATGGGGACAGTGTGCAATTTATGAGTTGCTTAAAGTCACACTAAATAGAATGGGAAGAAAGCAGAAGGATCCAAACCATCACAGCCCAATTATTCCCTTGCCCTTTAATATCTTCTGCCTCTTCCAAATTGCCAATAATTCATGATCTCAGGGGCACACTGTCCACCTCCCACCCACACAGGAGTCTGAAAGTGCTGTCCCAGACCAGGACAGATCCAGGGCTCCCCTCCCGTGGTGAACCTAGTCCTCACGGCACCAAGCAGACAGCAGATCTCATTCTCAAGTAAATCAATATTCTCCACGTGCCGCCTCCTCGGAAAAGCCCTTACCTCAGCACTGTGATCTTGGTTTTGCTTATATAAGAAGATCTACAACACAGCTCAGCCGCCCACTTTTGTCTCATTTCCTCCACCCAAGAGTTAGCTGTGGGGGAGACCAGCCGGGGTGATTCAGATAGAAATAATGAAAAGAGCCTTAAGAGAAGGGACCTTCCCCCTTCTCTCCTTTATTCCCTTGGGTAATAAAAATGCTGAAATACAGGTGTTGAGAAAACTGAGATTATAATATACCATCTGGCTATTGAGGTGCTGGGTCCACCTGCACTCCTTCCTCAGCTACATTCTGCCTGTCCTGTGGCTGTGCTCTAAGGGACTAGTGCTTGCCACCCTACTGTGATCCCTACCACTCTCCCCACACACATCCTCATCCTTATCTCCAGGAATCTAGTATTCTTTATAAACAAAGATCACACAAACTCTACCTCAAAGCTATGGAAAAATCTATACTTAATAACTGTACCTCCTCCCCCACCAACACACACACACACACACACACACACACACACACATACACACAAGACTTGGTCCAACTTTTAAGGTTTTCAAATGAACTCTGGCAAGTCCACATCCAGGAGAACACACTGGTTAAGTGCATGGGTTTAGTATCAGACAAACATATTCAAATGCAAACTTTGTCACTTATAAGCTTTGTGACTAAACAATGACTTAACCTCTCTTCTGTAAAGTGGTAATAATATTATCATAGTTTTGTGGTAGGAATCTATGAGTCAGTACCCGGAAAGCAATAACACAGTGTTTTTCGTGGATAGATGAGAGACAGGCAAATAGGTGATAGATAGATAGATAGATAGATAGATAGATAGATAGATAGATAGATAGATAGATAGAGAGATAGAGAGAGATAAATACACAGATAAAGAGACAGAGCATACATGCACAGGCACACACACACAAACACACAAAATTCCTTTATATAGGTAAGTTAAAGCTTCAATGTATAAGTCCTACAACCTGCAGAGAGCAGCACTGGAAGCAGCACTCAGCAGATTAAAGAATTTAACTCTTGGCAGCACATCAACTCAGTTGAGAGTTGATGAGGACGAGAGTCAGTCTACACTTTGATTTTTCACTTATGGTAAGAGGGGATCCAATGAGATGACATTTTGTCCAATGCTACACAGCCAATGAGATCTAGAAGGTAGACGGCCTAATCCTAAAGCCAGGACCTTTTTTGGTGGATACTAAGACCGCATAAACTTTGAGGCATGTTGAGCTAGCTCCTGAAAACCTTGCACTGGGAAGAAAAACATGAAACTAAATTATCCCAACCCAGTATTTTTGAGAGAAGTAATGTTTGACCTACTTTTTCCATCTGTCCTACCATTTCATATTGTCTCCATTCTAAATTTCAGCCTGATTTGACCTGACAGATGGAAAGCCCTATTCTCGATTTGCTCCCTTTATAGGACTAAGACTAGTGTTGCGTGGGATTTTCTAGCTTTGCAAACATTTGTGGATCAGAACAGAAAGTATATATTTCATAGAACTAATTTGAAATCCCCTCTGTTACTTTCTCTGCTCACCCAGCTGCTAGCTTTCATTCTACACACACATTCCTCAGTCGTTTTTGAGGGCCCCACTGGCTGCCCATCACTATCTCCCCAAGGATCACATAATCATGCTGCCCTTACACCTCCTTCACCACATACATACTTATATACATGTATGCATACACACATACATACACATGTTTATGCATACATACATATTAAGTCCCGTTCCTTCCAAATTGATACTGGCCTCTCGTAAGTTCTACTGTCTCAGAGACATGCTCTTAGCTTTTAAAGAAGATAAATTAATTGATGTTAAAATAAGTCTACCCTAAACACTTTTTGTGATTTCGTCTAGGTCAAACCTCCTTTGTCTCTGCCTAGACTTTGCAATTGTCCTCAACCTCCACACTTCAGTCTGTTACTTTCACTCCATCTTTCTCTCCACTACATGCACATGCAAAGAATAGCATGAAACATCTGAAAGAATGAGATAGACCCACTGCACTGTTGTGGAAAATGTCCTTAACACATTGTAAATAAATGTGAAGGTCAAGTTACAGAGAAGTGTGTATAGAATGACCTATTAGAATTAAAAATATCTATAAAAATTTAGTAACACCTAGAACTGTATTGTATAACTGGTAGTCTGTTTGAAGTTGGCTGTTTGAAGTTGATTAGAATAAAATAAAATTTAGAATTCAGTCCTTTAGTTGCATTAGCCACAGCTCAATAGACACAGGCTACCATACTAGACAGATATGAAACATTTCATCATCACAGAAAGTCCTATTACACAGAGTTAGTCTGGAAAGGATATGTGTTGAACAGTTAAAAGCAATTACTTCTGGAAATGAAATTGTGATGGCTAATGAAGCAGGGAACATCATTTTTACTCTATATGACTTTAATTTTTACTCTATATGATTTTAATTTTTGTAATGAGAATGGATTATTTCTATAATTTTAAAAGAAAAAAATTAAGACTGGTTAAAATGAAAATATTCCAAAGATTCTAAGTTCTGAGCAAAATTTCCAGATACTAGGCATTATAATAATTCACTGTAGGTTTATTTTCCAAATGGTAGCAGGTGTATTAGCCTCCTTATACCTGCTCTCCACTGCACACACCAAGTCCCCAAGAAATAAGGAGGCAAGAAAGCTGCAAGAGAAGCAACATGCTACAACTGGGAGAATACAAAATAGGTGTAAATCACTAGCCCTGCCCTCAAAGAACTCAGAATTCTATTAGGAGACCAGATAATGCACATTAAACAATAGATATCAAAATAAAAATGGAATGGTTACCAATTATACCTAACACATGTTGGGGATTTGCTATGTGTCACGCAATTTTCTGAACCCCAGTATCATGACAATAACCTAATATTGTGTGACAAGCAAACAGAGGATTGCGACTCAGGGATTTGTTCCTGTTCTGCTCTTGGAGAATGGGGAGAAGGAGTAGAAACCAGACAGTTCTGAGCCCGGTGTTCACACTGAGAACCAGAGAGAAATAAACATTGTGGTTTCTTCTTACCAGGTAAAACGGACCAACCAACAGTGGAAGAAAAAAACCGTACTATCTATGCCCAAGTCCAGAAATCAGGTGTAAGTTCTATACTTTTTTTTTCTTGGGTGAAGCCATCACATTTCCCATATGATTCCTGGCCAGTCCACTTTGCATGTTGGACATTCATTTACATGGGAGCAAAAGGAAATTAGGGAAGCAGAAGTCAAGTATAGGAGTGCTTTATAAGGGCATGAAATTTTGGTATTAGATGGGACTGTTTGTTATTTGAAATAATGGAAAACACTGGGTAATCTTCTGGTCATCTATTTCTTCTTAGGAAAAAAATGAGGAAGCTAGAGATACACGATCTATGACACTTTCTTGCTCTGACAATCTAGAATTGATTGTTCTGTGTTATCAAACTATTTCTCTAGGAAAAGGGGCAGGCTTGAAGAGAAGGGAAAGGCTTAGAAACACTATTGTGTGATGCATTGGGCTGATCCAAGTCTGGGAAGCTTGCAAAGTGCTAAAGAGACAAGGAAGGAGGCTCTTGAGGATTCAGTTAATAGCTAGAGGGTGGTTAAGAGATGGAAAATGCCATGTAAGTTGGAGAGAAAAGAAAGCAAAACTTTGATGGAGTTGGACTGAAACAGAAGAGAGGTACAAAAAAAACAGTCTTGATGAAATTGAGGAGTAGATGTGCCAAAAGGAAGAAGGTAGGAGATTATGGTTTGATATGAAAATATAGTTTTTCAGATAGGAAAGCAATTCAAGGTGATATAGAGGCCAGGCTCTGACCATTCCCTCTGTGTGTGTGTGCCCAGGGCTGGGGGGGTGGGGGTGGGGAAAATTCTGGAGTAAAGGAAGAAGTGAAGGTAAAGACAGCTTTGATTAGTACCTTATAAAATTCCATCAGTAGCAATAAATGCATTTCTGATAACTACAGATGAACTATTGGACAAAGCTCTTATTTCCAGCTCTTTCTGCTCCTTTTTGTCTGTGCAAGCATATTTTTTCTCCCTTCCTTTCTTCTAATAAAACTAATCTTAAAAAAATTTTATTTCTACTGTCCCCTAGTGGTGTGGAGGGTTAATTACACAGATCTTGGCCACCACTGACAACTAAATTTCATTTTTGAGACCCCCAAGAACAACCTCTACCCTCCACCCTCCACACATTCAAGTAACCAGGTTTAACTCTGATGTAATGTCTTCCCTATCCTCTATATCCCAGGCTGCTAGGATCCCTCTTTTTACTGTCAAGTATAACATATATACAAAAAAGTGCACAATATATAAATGTCAGCTCCATGAATTACCCCATCTTGGTGTCTAGTAAGACAAATCTCCCCACCTTGCTTTTCTTCAAGTTAATTTTATTTTTTACTATTTTTTTGTCCCTGTGTACTTTCATCTGTGTTTTAGAATCAGCTTCTCATGTATCACAAAAGGGAAAAATATTCCTATTAGGACTGCATTGAATAAACAGATCTATTTGGGGAGAAATTACATCTTTCATTATTAGCCTTCTAATTCCATGGAACTAACACCCAGAAGAACAAGGAACAAAAAACAGAGCAAGCACCCCCAGAGTTTGCTCCTCCCAATCAGATCCACTCTCTCCTCCCCACAGATACCACTTCTAAAAATATGACTTAGTGTTCTGCTGCCTTTTTTTCTTTTATTTTATAAAAATGGAATTTATAGTATCTTTCTTCTTGTTTTTTTTTCTTTTTCTCAAGTTTATCTTTATCAAATCCATACATGTCTTTGAGCTTAGATATAATGCATTCATTTTCAACACTTTATGGAATATCCATATACAAATATACTAGTTTACTTATTCAGGTGACTGTGGATGGACATTTGGGTTATTTCCAATTGCAGGCTTTATGAAAATTGCAGCTATCTCTCTTGGTCAATGTGCACACATGTTTTTGTTGGGTATTATACTTAGAAGTAGAGTATGAATCATAGAGTATGCATATCCTCAAATTCACTAGATAAGGCCAAACTGTTTCTAAAGTAGGTGGATCGATTTACTTTTCTACCAGATACATTTTTATAAGAGTTCCAGTTGCTACTAATCAAAACTTGACATTATCAGTCCTCTTAATTTTACTCATTCAGTTGGATGTGTTTTTTATGGTTTTATTTTGCATTCCCCTAATTACTAAGGGAATTTTACAAAATTTTATGTTTTTATTGGTCATGTTAATATCCTCTTATTTTAAAAAATCCTCTTATTTAAATCACCTGTTAAATCTGTCCATTTTTCTTTGAGTTTCTGACTTTTGATACATTCGTTTTTTAAAAAAGATTTCAGTTTTGGAGCAGTTATATGTTAGCAAATATCCTATTGACCATTTACTGAAAAGATCATCTTTGCCCCCCTGCAGGGCCACCTTGATCATAAACCAAGAGTCCTTATAAGTGTGGATCTATTTTGAAGTTCTCTATTCAAAATAGTTCTCTATTTTGAAGTTCTCCTTTCATCTATTTGTTTCTATACACGCACAGTTACCATGCTGTCTTTACAAATCTGTGATTACAGATTTATTATAGGCTTTGATATCTGGTAAAATGAGTTATTTCTCTTTTTCTCCATCTCCTTTTTTCAAGAGTTCTATGCCATTTTTGGCTTTTTTCATTTTTATATATATTTTGGATTCAGTTTGTCAAGTTCTCCCTAAAAATTCTGCTGGAATTTTAATTAGAATTGCATTGATCAATTTGAAGAGAACATGAATATTTATAGTATTGAGTTTTTTAATTCACAAAATGACATGTCCTTTCTTTCTTGTCTTCTTTAACCTCTCTAAATGATGTTTTATAGTTTTCTGCATAACAGGACTTGTATAGCCCTTACAATTTACTACTTGCCATTTGAGCATTTGATACTGTAGTATACTATCATCATTTCTTATCTTTTTTTAAAAATTTGACATCTATCTGAGACGGTATGATCCTATGCCTTTATTTTATTTTTTTAAATAAATTTTATTTTTATATTCCCCATACAATTGCAACCCCCCCATTTTGACCCCAATCCCTCCCCTCCCACCTCTCACCCCCCAAAAAGTGTCTCTGGTTCATAGTTGTTTGTTGATTTTGATTTTCACTTTCTTATAGTTATTCATTTTCCTGGTCCCTTATTTAAGTTCTCTAGATTCCTGCTATGAGTGAGACCCTCCGGTATTTTTCTTTTTCTTTCTGGCTTATTTCGCTGACCATGATCCCTTCCAGCGCCATCCATGTTGCTGCAAATTGCATGTGTTTATCTTTTTTGAATGCTGAGTAATATTCCATGGTGTATATGTACCACATCTTCTTGATCCAGTCATCTATTTTTGGGCATTTGGGCTGTTTCCAAAGCTTAGCTGTTGTAAACGGTGCTGCTATAAACATAGGGGTGCAGGTGTTCTTTGGAATTCATGTTTCTGTGTCCTTTGGGTAAATACCTACCTTTAAATCACATGTGATGTTGTAAGCCAGGCAAGGGCCATGCTTGTTGAAGGCTTTTAGGGAGCCTCCTCCTTTACATTTCCAGCATCTGCTGGATCCAGGTGCTCTTTGGCATTTGCTGGCTTTTAGCTGCATTACTCCAATTTCTGCCTCCATCTCCACATAACTGTCTTCTCTCCCTCTGTTTCTATTTCTCCTTTTCTGTCTCTTACAAGGGCACTTGTCACTGGATTTAATACCCTACTCTAGGATGACCTTGTTTTGAAAGTCATCTATTTGAATCATTCAGTTACTGCCTGTCTTTTCTTGCAATATTCCTCCACTTACTAAAATATCTGTGAACAAGTAGCATCAGCATCAACTGGGACCTTCCTAGAAATGCAGGATCTTGGGTCCCAACCCAGACCTTCCAAAATAGAAGCCACCTCCTTCTAACAAGATCCCCAGGTACTTCACATGCACCCTAAAGTATGAGAAGCCTGATCTAACCCAAGCACTTCCAGTAATCTGAAATTCATTGCCTCCCAAGGCAACTCATTCCGCATTTGAGCACTTTTAACTTCTAGGAAGATATTATTTTGAGTCAAAATGTGTCCCTAAAATTCCAGTCATTGTTTAAACCAGAAATAGTCTACAGAAGAAATCTAATTCCTCTTCTATATGGCAATCCACCAGCTATATGAACAGAAAGAACTCCTGTAAATTTTTCCCATTTTTTACCTTTTCCATCAGATAGCAAGATAACAAGTTGTCTCCCATTAAAACTTTGAGCTGTAGTTTCAAGTCTTGCTCTATTTCTAGGAGAAGAGGGCAGCGCACCTTATACCCAGGCCCTCAAAGGGTGTTGAAAGGCTGGTTTTACCTTACAGGGATGTAGCCTTCCTTCATGCCTACCCTGCTTGGTCTGGCATCGTAAATTTAGAACAACTCAAAGTAACATCAACAAACATTAGCTGGGCCAGGGCAGTGGGGAGGTGTGAGGGGAGGAGATTATATGTCCAGCTCTGTTTTGTAGGGAATGCAAAGAAATGTAGGCTATTCTTCAAGTAATTTACAGTCTGTTTAGAGAAACAACAGGTGAATATATCATGTGTTTTAAATACAGCATACAGTTGAGTGCCATAAAGTGTGACTTAAACACCTGAGGAATGTGGGCATAGGGAAGGGCATTTAAGTCAGGCTAACCAAAGAAGAAGAATATTCCGAAAAGCCTTTAAGTTACAAGAACTAGGTGGGACTCCCGGCTTTGATACTTCTCGAATGTGTCCATTAGGAAAGTACCAAATATTTTTGGGTTTTAGCTTCTTCATCTGATAGAGATGAGTAGCAGCAGTATTTCGCATAGAGAGGGGTTGTGAGGCAAAGAAGAAGACATGTGAACTTCACTATCACTAAGTTCAGTATCTGGGCAGGACAGAGAAAGAGTAAGACACCACATTAGAGTGAGAAACAGCAGGAACAGCAGCGAGGGGTGGAATGAGCTCTGTATATTGCAGTTGATAGTGAGGGAGGGAGACCAAAACACCAAGAAGACCCTATTCCCTTCAGCTGGCCTGTTAGGGCCACACCCACTGTGAGGAAGAGCTTGAGAAGCCCTGGGAAGAGCTAGTGATGAATTAGGCTGTTCCTAAGGTTGTGAGCTCCAGTATCACTGGGGAGTTCTCGCAAAGTGCCAGGGAATGGGGAAGGTGGGGGAAGATCTTCCACCCAGGAAAGAGGCTAGACCAAAGATTCTAAGGAAAAGTTTCCAACTAAAAGCTTCATTAAACTGTGTTTCTCCTAAAGGACAGTAGGATGGGAAGTAATTCCCTGCTCTGCTAATCTCTTGCTATTGTTGTTGCTCTTATAGTCTGTTCACAAGAAACCAGATCCCCTGCCAGCCCAAGACCCCTGTACCACCATTTATGTTGCTGCCGAAGAGCCTGTCTTGGAACCTGCCCAGGTGAGACCTAGCTGTGCCCTACTCTGTAGAGGAATATTGGGGGAGGGGAGAGGGTGCCATCTGGGTGGAGCTGAAATGAAACAGAAGCCCGAAATGAAACAGGCAGGCCCAGCAAGCAGGCAGCAAGGGACACTGCAACCTTAGTTGCAGCATTTCAGGGAAACTGCTAGAGGCTGCTTACTGGGGCATAAAACAAAAGGTGGGGTTGTAACCCTCCCTACAAGGGGAGCAGGCAGCCCAGGGCCCTGGCAATGTCTAAAGGTCACTGACCCCATGACAATTCCAAATGCTGCCTGACCCTGAGACCTTTGTCTTTTCCTAAGCAGCTGTTTGCATTTGCACTTGTAGGGTGGGTGCCAGGCCCTCCTTTATGACATCTGTTTTGCCCCCAGGAATTAACCTCTATCACAGTCTATGCCAATGTGACGCTTCCAGAGAGCTGACACCACAGGCCAAGCCAAGGGATTTTCTGAAGGAAAATGCAGGAACTGAAATAAATGCTGAACTTGGTCCCAGGTCCCAAGTTCCCCGTGCTGCTCTAACATCTGTTCTCTTCTCTGATCAACTCCCTGGTGATGCTTCTCCACTTCCACCTGTGAGATGGACCAGGATGTGGGGCTTCCTAAGTGGGGCTTGACCTGCTCCACAGGGACAGGCCCAGAACGGAGAGGGTAACACAGCTCCCACCTCCGCGGTGGAAGAGACAATGGAGAGTGTGGATCCAGCAGAGTCCAGAAGGCCAGGTGCCTGCTCTTTGCTGGACGGGACAATAAAGCTGAATGGCAGAAGGCCAGACCATCCCGTGCCCATCTCAGTCTGCTAACCACCAGCCACAAAGCCAGGGAACAGTTTACATTTTGGTTGCCGGAGCTGATTCCCATCAAGGTCCAGACCTGTCAAGGCTCTGTATGTCAGTTTCTCTCTCTGGATGGGTAATAAGGGGTGAGTTCCTTATTATATGTAAAACACTCAGATATACTTTATAAAAGAAGCTAATACAATCAGTATTTTATTTGTAAAGTCCAGAAGCTAAACAGTCAATAAACTGAAAACACAACTTTGAGATCTCTGAGTTTTGAATAATGGAATGTAAATCATTTCCGATTCTTAACAGCACAGTTCTGTGCAAAGGGCTTTCAGATTTATAGAAAAGCAGCAAGTGTTGCGTGCTGCTGTTATGGAAGAATTTGGGATAATCAGAAGTTGTCCCAGATGCTTTTTTAGTCCCCCAAATAATTTTTAAATCCTAGTTTTTTCTTAACTCCATTAGACAACAAACCTGAAGCTTCAACAAAGAGTCTCTATGGCAAAAATCTCTTTTAGGAAAGTTCTATTCTCTGCTTTCAAACAGGTCCTCTTCAATTTAAACTCTCCTTTCTTGTAGATTCTTGGATGACTTTAGTGGACATTAAGAAATCAACTATCTTACAATCACTTAACAGAGGTGACAACTTTTTGGTTCATGGTCTTTACTGTTAGCAGGTAGATTGAGAGGTACCCCAAGACCCTCTGAAGGGGTCCGGCCATCCATGTGCATAAAGGCAAAGGAATTATGACTATGTAAAAGAATTTTAATATAATTTTGTGCAGAGAGAGGGAGGAGAAGAAAGGATAATAATTTCCCAACCAAACACCCAAAGTTACCCATTTCTTTGTGGGTAAATGTCCAGCCAAACAGAGCTGGCCTACTGCAGGGCCTCTGAGGCCCAAAACCTTGCCACAGTCAAAGGTACCTTTTGGCAGGAAACCATAGGAAAGGGACAGGAGGGGCCAAGCAAGTCTGGGATGAAAGGAGCAAAATTAAAGTACCATTCAAGGAAAGCCTGCCATTGTCAACCTCCCTGTGTGTGTGTGATGCATGTGTCTCTTCTAAAGGTCTCTACATGTCTCTCCTCCATGTGTCCCTTCCAAGTCCTGTGCAAGTCCGATGCTGAGAAGCAAGCAGGTCCTTCTTCTCCACATGTCTCTCTCCCCATATCTCTCCCTGTGTCTGTGTGTCTCCTCCTGAGCCCATCTGCCTTCTGTGTTATATAGCTTCACCTGGCCACTCAGCTCCACCCCTCAGTAGGTGGGGCTGGATATATGGAACCTCTCTTTTTATGGAGCTGCCTCTGTTGCATTAGTTACCTTGAGTCTTACCTCTGTCCACATTTAGTTCTGGTGTATCTCATTTCCTGGTACCAATTTCAACTATAGTATTCTTAGTTACAATCAACAGAAATCAACTCTGGAGTTTTTTATGTGAAAAGAAGTCTACTGGGAAGATATTGGTTGGTTCACATAACTCCAGAAGATGCTGTAAAACCAAACTTTGAATATGCACAGGAGAAGGGAGGTGAGGCTGTGGTTGGGAGGACAGTCCAAATCACAAACCAGAAGAGGAGTGACCATGCCCGCTCACATCACTGCCACTGGCCCAGGACGAGACCCACACTCTGCCACTCCCTCTGTCTCCAAGAGACTGGGGCACTCAATATTGCTACTGCTTTGTCTGTACCAGAGTGCCTTATCCAGTGTCCCTTCATCTTTTCATCTCTAGCTTCTAATTCAGAATTTGGGACTGCGTGGACATCTTTGGTTACATGTCCATGTTCTACCTCCAAGGATATCTGCATCTTCCACTTTCACCATGGCTGGTGGGCTCTGCCTATCATGAGTAAGGGAATTCAATGAAATGTGACATTGAACACGCAAGAAAATGCCCAATGCATTCACTAGCTATTCTGAAAATCTAGCAGCTACTAACAAAGGCTTGTGCCCTCTGGGTTTGACTCTTTGCTCCTTTACTACAACTCTGATTGCTCAGACAGCTCAGTTCCTATCACTTGGGTTTTTCTTCTGACTGAATTCTATCTTGTGGAAGTGCAGAAAAAAAGAGGCTATTCCCTTGGAAGTCCCTGACCTTGCTCAAGTCCTCACTGGGAAGACAGCTGAGTCAGTGGAAGTCTTCAGGTAACCTTCATACCATGCTGGATATATGTCTGCCACCACCAGCCCAGGCTTGAGAGGGAAAGCAGAGTACCCTGCAGATTATACCCTTACCTCTCCCCTTCTCTCCAAAACCCCTATGGCTGAGCTGGAGCTCTCCTTTTCCTCAGGCTTAAACCACACACACACACTCACACACACGTACACAAACAACAGATAAGAGTTCCCTTGGTTTCTCCTCTAATGTTTTCTTTTGACTGAGCATTTTCAGTTCTGGAGAACTGAGAAGGAACAGACCCACTCTCTTTTTTAAGGAACTGGTGTTCCAAAACACAACTGGTGGAGCCTCAGCCCTTTTTAGGGCTTTGTCACACAGCCAGGATGTGATGGCGAAGGGAATGTCTGCTGACTGGGCCACCGCTGATCACTGCAAATCATTGCTCTTCCTGAAGCTCTTGTTACTACCTCCTTGCAATGAATAAAATACACATAATTAATCGAGGGAGTCACCCTTTTTGTCTAATGTTACTAGAGTACTTGTAGCACAGCCTGTATTACATTGCATGGGCTTGGGTCTGGGTTATAAGCTGTGAGTTTGTCCCTTTCTAGGGTGTGGGCAAGGCTTAGCTGTGTGCCCTCTGCACACAGCTAAGGAACCTCTTACAAGCACACAAGAAAACTATGTTTAGAGGATTGTTTAATTGTTGTCACTGCCAGAGTAATTCCCTTCCCTGAACATCTTCAAATTCCCCTTGTGGAATAGACCTATAACAGGTTTCTTAACCTTAGCACTGCTGACATTTTGATCCAGATAAGTGTTTGCAATGGGACTGTTCAGTGCATTGGGTGATGTTTAACAGCATCTCTGGCCACTACCCTTTAGCTGTTATTAGCAAATCTCCTGTCCCCCAGTTACGGCAATCAAAAATGTCTTCAGAATGGCCAAATGTCCCACCAATTAAGAGCCATCAATTCAGGGGGCCTCCCTGATGGCGCAAAGGGTTAAGCATCTCACTATGAAGCAATCCGCGGCCTCTGCAGCACAAGTGCGATCCTGGGCCGGCCAGAGAGCAACCCACATGACGTGGCAGACCTCTCCTTGTCTTGCCTGCTGCTCCCCTCAGCAGTGTATTTCAGTCAAGTCTGCCTGTTCTGCTCCCCACTCTGTTGCTGATAAATCCTCTCACCCCTGGCCTCTCTGGCCTGTACCCCAGCTCTTGTATGCATAAATAAATGAATCTTAAAAAAAAGAACCATCAATTCAGAAACATACTGGCTGCCTTGTCATCTTTACATAGCTAACTATGCTTTTAAACCAAGAAGAAAATCTATCAAAAATCATATTTTGAAAGTGGTCAACTGGTAACTTAAGCTTGACTAGCACTTGCCAATTCCCAAGATTATCTAAATATTAGTTAATTAAGTATACTTTTAAAATACAGATGCCCAAGCCCTACCTGAATTGGTATTAAGGTCTAAGGAACCACCTACCTAGAGACTATAGTTACAACCATAAAGGATTTTGTGAAGAGTTCCACACGACAGCCACAAGAGGGAGACACAGCAGCACAGTCCAGTCACTCCAGGGCCCCCAACACCTCTTCCACATCTGAAGGATGTGGACTCAGTCATAGACTCACCGAACTGTGACTGGATTCTATCAGTTCCCAACACCTGCATGTGGGGGAAGAATTGCCCCTGCCCCTCGGAGATAAGGAGATGCAATGTGAATCAGCAACAGACTCTACTCAAGGTTAATTGCAGTAAGGCTAATTGAAATTAGATTATTTCATGGAAGAGTCCCAGTTCAACTGAAAGCTTCACTCACTCAACAAATAGCTATTAAATTCCTACTAAGTGTTAGTGGCATGATCCGTGGGTCATCCAAAGTATACTTGCAATTAAAATATGATCTGCTGGGACTCACTTGAAAATGGAAAGAGATTATATTATAATAACTCTGGAGCATGGTGGGTTAAAACAATTATTAGTCACCCAAGCAACAGAGGAAGTGCCTGACCTTTGTAAAGCACACGAGAGGTGCACCCAACTAGACCTCAGGAGTAAGGAGAGTAAGTCGATTTCAGGTAAAAAGTTCGAAGTTGCAGTGGAAGTGAATTAGAAACCTCCCAGGGGGTAATCAAAGATAAGACTTCATTCAGCTCAGGAAAAAAAATAGAATCAAATTCTGAGGGCTACCTTCATGGCAGTTACACTTTCAACCTGAGACTGAAGAGAATAAAAGGTGGGCTCTTGATAATGATGTACCCACATTTAAAGGGCAGAATGGGGTCTCCCCTGGTGGTGCAGGCGGTTGAGCGCAGTGCTGCGAAGCTGCATACAGCCTCTGCAGCGCTGGTTTGATTCGGTTCGATCCTGGCCCGCTGGTGAGGGTCCCACATGGCACGGCAGACCTCTCCTGTCTCGCCCACTGCTCCCCTTGGCAGTGTATTTCATCAGTCTGCCTGTTCTGTTCCCCGCTCTGTCTCAATCCTCTCACCCTCTCGCGCATCTTGCCTGTCCCCCAGTTCTTGTATAAATAAATGAATGAATCTTTAAAAAAAATAAAGGGCAGAATGTAAAACAACAGCCAAGGACACAAATAAGGTCACTGATCACAGAAGTCGGAAGGACAAGCCAGGTGCCTATTTCAGGAGCTGCTAAAGAGAAAGGGAGCTGAGAAAGGTCACTGGTTTTGGATTTAGTGAGGATTTTGTGAGATGATTTGGAAAACAAGGGAGTAAAAAGAAAAAAATAAATGAGGTAAAGATTTTTAGGTAAGTGAAGTGTGGAACTGATTTTAAATTTCTTGCTAGTTCTGGTCCCAAAAGTTCCTTTGGGGATGTGACTCAAACACCCGTATTCATAGGATTGTGGGCAGCCATGGTTGGAAGGACTTTATAAGACAATCACACAGTTCCTTCCTTGTCCAAATTCCTGGATGTCCAATACCACATCCCCAATATCCTCTACTGTATCCCCAACATTGTAACAGGCTTTGCCACACTGAGTAGTGAGGAGACACTCTCTCAGTAAGGTAGCAGGCATTCCTGGT